TCCTCGGAGGTCCCCAGGACTGTGCTGGCTGACTAGGGGGAGTTCCATGAGCAGCTTCCCTTTATGTCCTGGCCTCGGTGTGGACACAAACCCCTCCCCTTGCTTCTTGGAGCCCAGAGAAAGCGACAGGAAGGGGGGCCTTCCCCAAGACTTTTCCCTGGGCTCAACAACAGGAAACAAGGAGTGCGCAGAGCAGAGGTGGTCACGGGCTCGGCCTCATGGCTCAGGGCCCCGCCCTGCGTCAGCTCTCCACTGGGATCCAGCCCTGCGAATCCAAGAATCCAAGCGGAGAAACTCATAAGGAAGTGATTGCCCGGGAAGGCTGGCACCCCTTCCTGACCAGTCCCGGGAGCGTCTCTCGCCAGCCTCTAGCACTGCCCTATTGCAGTGAAAGCAGGCACTTCTGGAGGCACCTGCAGGTCAGGCCATTGCCCATCCTATCACTGCGTATCCACCTCTTTTTTGTTTGTTTTTTTAAGGGAGAGGGAGAGAGAGAGAGAGAAACATCAATGATGAGAGAGAATCATTGAACAGCTGCCTCTTGTACATCCCACACTGGGGATTGAGCTGCAACCCGGACATGTGCCCTGACTGGGAGTGGAATCGTTACCTCCTGGTTCATAGGTCGATGCCCAACCACTGAACCACACCAGCTGGGCCACCACGTGTCCACCTTCGATCATTAGATTCTCAGTGTACAGAGCAGGAAGCTGAGGCGCAGAGAGCTAGGCATAGCCTGTGCAAGGTCACACAGCTGGGGATGGCAAAACAGGGACATATGATCCTCCGCAGGCGCCTCAGTTCCCGGGGTGGACAGGGTTCCACCTGGCCTGCAAGGCTGGGAGAGTCTTGGTGACCAAGGCCACAGAGGCCACTGCAGGCTGGTACATATGTAATGTCAGGAGGTAGGATGTGTGTGTGCGGTATGCATGTGTGTGCACTGAGGGCTGTGTGTGTGTGTGCTGTATGCTATGTGTGCTGTGTGTAGGGGGTGTGGTACATGTATAAGACACCTGCCCCCACTCCCCTGCTGCCCAGTCAGAGGCTGGGAGGGGCTGGGGTACAGCCAGTCTCTCTGGGTAGGAAGAGGAGGCCTTGACCTTGGTTATACTTGGGCCTGGTCAGTGAGGGGCTGTTTTGGTCTCTGCAGGTCAACAGAGAAGACGGACAAACAGGAAAAAAGAGTCGAACTCAGGCCAGAGCCTGGCCCTTGGCTGTGTGCAGGCTACTGCCTTGGGCTGGGCTGGGCCAGCCTGGGCTGAGCGAGGGCAGGGGAGGGGTGGGATGGGGGTGCCTGGGATGGGGGAGAACGCTGGGCTAGAGGCTGAGGGAGTCCTAGAGCCGGAGGAGGGAGAGGAGGCAGGGGAGGTCCAGTCCTGAAGGCCCTGGCAGGGTGGCCCCTCTCGGGCCCTCCACTCAGGGCACAGGAACCCAAATGTGTGTCTGTCTGTGATGTCAAGTGTGTATGCCTTTGTGGCATATGGCTGTTTCATATAAGTATGCAATATGCATGAGTGCAGGAGCTCAGAAGCCCCCTCCTTCAGGGACAGGTAGTTTCAGGTGGGGGAGGAGCAGGGCAAGGGTGTCCCTGGCTCCCATTGGGCCTTGGGGAGGAAACTGGATCTCACAGGGCATGTTAAGACCTTGATCCCACCCCACCTCCTCCCTTCCTGTCCTTCATCTCCGGCTGGCCCTAATTGAGGAGGGGGAGGGGCTTCGTGGGCCTGGGAGGGGCCGGCCCTCTGTGTTAGTGGGGATTCCTTGAGCTCTCACCCTTTCCTCACACGGACCGCAGACAGACAGAAGGAGCCTGGCTTGGGAAAGAGGCGTCAAGCTTACCCCAGAAAAGCTGTATGATCCTGGGAACTGGTCTCAGTTTCCCCATGTCTAGGATGGAGACGCTGAACTAAGTGATCTCC